GTATTTAAGAGGTGAGATAAACTTAAAAAAAAATATTTCTATATGCTTCCATGTGAAAAATCTTACATTTTGTTACTTCCTTTATGACCTTCGTGTTTTTAGAGGTTCTTGTACTTTATCCTGTAATCAAGATAACTTCTACAGTGTTTATCGGTTTCTTCAAAGAGAAGTAAACTAGCAGCTAAATCCTCAACTTTAAATACATGCATTTGTGATGAATATTTGGCAGAAGGTACCATTACCTTACAAGTCTTGCATAAATCTCAACCTGTGAGACCCTGCTTACAAGTTAGGAGATGACGTATCTTCTTTGCTTTCTGATAACAGGAAGCAGTTGTGGAGTTTCTGCTGGGAATCAGTGGCTAGTCAAGGGCTACCTACTTTATACAAAAGACTTTGCTAATAATTTCTCCTGACCTGTTTGCAATATCAAACTTTTATGCTTTCTGACTGGTGCAGAAAAAAAATGCATCTTTCTTTGCCTAATTAGCCCATTTTCTCTTCTCTTTTTTCCAACATAGTCAAACTACAGGTTTTTTTTGTTCATGGTCTAGAAAGCAAACAAAAACAACAACAAAACACGTAAACAAAACAAAAACAAAACCCGCAACAACAAACAAACAATAAAAAAAAAAGACAACAAGTTGTGAGGACACAGAAAAAAAATATCACTGGAAAAACATCAGTTCTTATATTTTTAACCACTCAAGTCTATGCTTGATTGACCATGGTGAGTTCTATCTGAATTCTGGGTTATTCTTTTTTCTTTATAAAATTATAGCTACATGCTAACAACAAACACTTCAGGCAAAGTCATGTATCAAGCCTATTATTTCTAAGTCTTCATTTCAATATTTCTAAGCCTTCATTTATCATCCTAGGTCTTTTATCAGAAAAAGAATATCTGATAACACTGTCATTATTAAGAACAGATGAATGTTATTTATTTTAATATTAAAAAAAAAAAAGGTTAGGAATTTATCCAAACACGCCGATAAATGGTTCTGCTAACGCTCAATGTGGAAAACAAGAAACTGATGTTACTGCTGAAAAGGTTTTTCTCCACAAAATTGTAAAATTTTCTTTTTCAAAATATAACATCTGTTGTATCTGGAAGACCAAATAGTAGAGAAGGAAAGGACAGCATAGCAGCATAGAGTTATAAAGGAAAAATAGACGTGGATATTAATGGGCTAGAAAAATAGTCTTCTAATGTTTCTTAATTTGATTTTGCTGCTGTTGAATCTCAGGGTAATAGTATAAGATATAATTCACTCTCCATAAATATCAATGTAGGTGTTGTTTTTTATTTTAAACGGAAACCCACCTGTTGGGTCCTATTTTGCAATGGTATTTTTCTTCTTCTCAGTTAGATTAGCCAAAAAGTAGATTAAGTGAAGGTACCCCAAAGAGCAACAGAGGGATTCATAGGTACCAGAGGGCTAAAATAGAGGAAAGGGTTACGAGGATCTCTTGCTGTCTATCCTGAAAAATTGCTATGGCACCTTGGGGCAGCAGTTTTGAAAGGTGTTTTTGAATTGTGCTCCCAGGTGCTGGCACCACACCATGCCGACTCTCAGACAAGACAGTCCCTCTGGGACCATGTGGAATTGGGTCATCTTGTTACTTTGGTGCTTCATATTAAGGAAAGGAGAAAGGGGTCAGACAGCAGTATGAGCACATGGGGTCAGCCAGATGATGGCAATAACGGAAAGTGTCCATACAACCTCCAGACTAACTGGGAAGTGCTCAACCATGGTGGGCACTGATGTTACATTTGTCAGGCTGCAGAAACCTCCTCCAATTGTTGACAAGCTCAGCAGACACTCAATTTCTATGGGGCTGGTTTATGGCATCCTGGTGGGTTCTTGGGCAGATCTGGATACTTAGTATGGGTTCCCCATAAGAAACATCTAGTCAGCATCTTACTGCTCCAAAAGTGAGGGAACAGCAGACAAAAAAGTCTGCTGCAGTTCAGATTGGCTCCAGTTGTGCCTTTGCATTGTGGCTCCCTACTTTGATAATCCTTGATAGGATTTATCTGTTCTAGCACAAACACTACTGCTTCTCTGTCAAAGTGGATCCATGAATAAGGCAAAGGGTTTCCTGAAGTTTATGATGTGCTATATGCAAAGACAGTGAACTACACATTCTGTTAGCTGGTTTGGGAAACAGGTAGGAAATCAGCAGGACTGAAGGGTACACTGGCAAAGTAGTTCACCTGTCTGCATAAAGTGCCCCTTGCAAAAGTAGTTTGTAAAGCAATATGCTTCAGCTTAGTCTCCCCAATAAAAAGTTTTCTGGAGATATACCATATACACATCATTTGCTATTGTACTATTTCACTATTTATATTTGTTTATTATTTGTTTGTATTTTGCCGTTTTGTATTTTTCTCTGGCAGAGAAAAAAAGTGTTTTAGAAAAAAGCAATCATTTTCTGACTATCCCTGTTAGATACACAAGTTATATTACTTTGTTCTGTACTTTTATAGTTCAATAGGAGTTAATTATAAATATCTTGAAATCCACATATTGTCATTTGAAAAGGTAATCATTTTTTTTTTGCAGTACTCATTCTACCAACAAGACATAAAATATGAGCAGTTTCCAATTGTTTCTTGACTTAAATCATGTGTTTAAGCTCTTAAGGAAAATTCTAAGAGAAAGAATACAAGGGTAAGGAAATACTTGAAGTTTTCAAAAAAAATTATAAAGAAAGTCAAGCAAGCTGCAAGCCATAGGAGGGTCCTGTTATGATTATTCTATTATCACCTTCTACTGGGTGTTCATTTAATTCAGGCGACTTGAAAGTGTCCTTGAGATCTGTAACTTTATCTAGATGCCAGTCTACCATATCTGTGCTCTTTAAAGTGCGATGTCTAAACACTGTTTTTATCTTTATGTCAAGTGCTGAGCTGTATGGGGACTAAAACTCAGGGAAAAGAGAACTTTAAAGGATATGAAAGAATAAACTTGTATTTGATTTGGGACTAAAATTTAGGACTTGAACTTTATGAACTGGGCTCTGTTGTAGGGGTATGAACCTTCAGGCCAGAAGAATAAAACATAGTTTTTTTTATTTCTAATAAAATTATGTAGTAGAAAAAGGAAACTCTTACTGAGATTGCTTTCAGTGTTCTGGGGAGCTCTGTCCTTGCCGAGGCAATCGGCTCCGGGGCAGACACGTTCTGCAGTGCAGCGGGGTATCGGACAGGCAGGGCTAATTTTTCCAGCACCGAGCCCACTCGAGGGAGCCGCCAGGACCAAGCAGCCCTCGAGAGGGAGGTGAATGAGGCGAGAATGAGGCATAGGCGGAGCCAGCAGCGCCCCCTCCCCGGCCCTTCATAAGCTGGCCCTACGGAGCGCGGCAACCAGGACGGGCAAACAGGCGGGCGTGATGCATCAGAAGGATCTGGATGAGTGCACCCTCAGTAAATTCGCAGATGACACCAAGTTAGGTGCGTGTGTTGATCTGCTCGAGGGCAGGAAGGCTCTTGCAGGAGGATCTGGATAGGCTGCACCGATGGGCTGAGGTCAACTGCATGAAGTTCAACATGGCCAAGTGCCGGGTCCTGCACCTGGGGCGCAATAACCCCAAGCAGAGCAACAGGCTGGGAGATGAGTGGTTGGAAAGCTGCCAGGCGGAGAAGGACCTGGGAGTATTGGTGGATAGTTGGCTGAATATGAGCCAGCAGTGTGCTCAGGTGGTCAAGAAAGGCCAACAGCATCCTGGCTTTTATAAGAAACAGTGTGGCCAGCAGGTCTAGGGAAGCGATTGTACTCATAACAAGTAAGCTGCTTCAGCTAGAATTGTTATTATATTCCAGTAGACAAACTCATTGACTGTAAAGAAATTTCTTCATGTGTGGGATTATTTTGAAAAGTGGCAGATTACATGGCAGATTACCATATTCCTATATTGTTTAACTGGCTTTATTGTTCCAAGTGTTTCTGTAAATATAAGTCAGGGGTATATGATTCTTTTTAAATATGGAAATAGCTATTTAATTTTTTTCCTATTTTATTATGATCTTTATTGTTGCCAGTAAAATCACATCCTTCCTTTCATTTTGTCTTGCTTCTAGTGTAGAGAATGTAACACTTACCAGGCAGGAAAGAGTAATAGTCAAAAAGTTAACAGCAAACTGCTTTCTTTTTCTTCTCTTTAGTCAAAAGTAAAGTATAATGCTCTGTTCCCATCTATTCCAACCTATAAGGCTTGCCATTTTATCCACAAAGTAGTTATCAATGAAACTGTTTTGTAGTCTTAAACTGGGCAGAAGAATTGACCTTCAAGATTCAAGGATTAGACTCACAGAAACCTCAAGAAAGCCAATCTTTCATCTCACAAAGGTAGAGAAAAAGATATCGAAAGTGTTATAAACATATGGATCTTTGGGGCACAAAAGAGAGAGAGAAATATCTCAAATCTGTATTTTCAAATGTTGTATTCTGAGAAGCACGAATGCTGGAGACAAATTTGGAAGAATATTTGGGGAGAGCAAAAAGACAGAAAAAATAAAATCATGATCACTTCTCTGCTAATACAATTCCATAGAATGCAAAACTGATTGTGTACCAACAGCTGATGATTGTTGTATCATTTTGATGAGGAATAAGATAGATAGTGATTAAACATACTAAAGCAGCATGTCATAAAAGGTCTGGTCAAGTTTATGCACCTCAATGCACCCACTTTTTCACAGTCAAAATGAGTAAGGGGTTTTCTAGGTTTGTAGTCCATTATCAGCCGTGGGGTAAATTAAATGTGAAAAAAGTAACTGGGATGTGCTTAGGAAAGGACCTTGGTGGGTAACTAAATTAGTCACTGAATCCAATTCAGTTTTGTGCCAGAAAGGCAAAAAAATATATATCTAAATCTATGCTATTAAAATCCAGACATCTATGACTGCACAGTTGTTAAAAGAAACGCATCAGACTTGGCAGTGGCAAGGAATCTCTTCATAAATAATCCTATGTTTGAATCAATTTTTTCAGCCTATCTCAACGTTCATGCTGATCTAGTGAATCCTCTGAGAAAATAAGTACTCAATCACACCTCACAAAAGAGAGGAATCAAGGCAGCATTTCAGAGAATTCAGCCGGACTATCGGATACCAGCGCACAGCCTTGTCTTACACAACAGACCTGAAACCCATGTTATCTTCATCCTGTGGGAGTCCTTGAACCCTTTAATGCAGGTATGGTTGAAGTGTAAGTCACTTGTCTTTTATACTTGTATTTGATAAGTACATGTTCGCTAAGTCAGAGTGACTGTTTAATTGTCTCTCTCTAAAACAGAGAAGTTTGGTGTATTTGCTGGTTACCTGTAAATTTTAGTGCTACACATGGCATGGGTGCACTTGTATATAATCCAACCCCAGAGACAGGTCCAAGGTCCAAAGAGCAAGGGTTATGTCTTAAACAAAAAAATGTATTTTTGTTGCATTTCCTAACCATTTTGCTATCAAGTTGACAAGTGAATTTTCCTTTTTTTTTTCCTTTATGAAAAATAGTCTTAGCCGAGGTGTGCAAATTTGGAAAATTATGAACTATAGTTGTTTTTGTGAATCAGAAGCAGAGGCAAACAGCTGTTTTTCTCAGATACCTCTTACAAATAAGGCATACATAGGAAACACCCTTATCCATGGCATTCATTAAACATCCCATTTAGGTAGTTCTACAGCTTTGTGGACTCTGTACTTCAGTGCTTATTTTTCCCTGTGCAGGGAAGTGGGTGATTCATTAATACATAGCTTCTGCATACCTGGATTTTTCTGTCCACTGAATAGGTTTGGAATGATAAATAAATATTTGGTGATAAAGGGAGAAACTGTAGGAAAAAAATGTTTTTATAGAATCTAGGATTGGATTAAAAAATCAGTTTGGCACAGTTCAAGTAGACTAGTCTACAGTAGTTATCAGTCACACCAGACTTTGGTGTCAATAATATCTTTGTAGATTTTTCTTTCCATATAGTTTATTTAGTATCAGGTTTCAGTTTTATATTAGCTGATTAAATGTGGATTTTAGTTTTCTATTAGTTTTCATTACAAAAGAAAAATATCTGATCTGACAAATTGGAGTAGAAAGGGTGAGGGATAATTTTTTTGATACTGAGTTGATCTGAGACCCACAGAATATTTTCACAAGGGAGTCAGAAAGAGGCTGTATTTAAGAAAGGGAAGATTATATTTTCCAGTGAAGCAAATAACACTTAGAGATTTATTTTGGAAATCCCTGCTTTCATAAAGAAAGGCAAATAAACTGGAAAAACACCATATGTGGGCAGCAGTGTCTTCTAAACATCAAGGATAGGGAAAGTCACATTATTTCTGTTCTCTATCTTTTTTTTTTTTTTTTTAATGACTATAGCAATTATGATTAAACAGAACACTTAAAAAGAGTTTTGCTAGAAAAACACAAAAATACTGCACCAGCACTGCTATGAATTTCTTAAAATATCCTGAGTCAAGGTTCTTTAAACTTATCTTTATTTCAGTGCTTTCCTCTGCTCATGGTTCTGCTGTTGGGGATACTAATGGGGTGAAAAGTACTTCTGTCTTGAAAAAGATTCATCTGGACAAATCTCATCCTCTCCAGAATCAATTACTACATTCCCTATTGTCTATTGAATAATACATAAGTGCACCAAATGTAATTCCATTGATGTCTGGTGATTTCTTCATTCCTGTGAAAAAGATTTTATTTTTCAGTTTATCAGCTTGTGATTTATATTAACGAATAGATTATTTCTTAGTCCCTGAAGAATCTTTATAAACAACTCTAGCCTCTCTCACCACACACTTCTATCCTTATCTATTGCTACAAAAGCACATTAACATGCTCATACAATAGTTCACAGACACCAGTGTCTCAAACAAAGTGCTTTTATGTGGTTTGATTGAAAGATTTTCTCTGAGGGATAATCATATTCCTAGCTATTAGAAGAAAGAAAACAAAATGAAATTAACTGCAGCTGTATTGAGATACAAACACACACACACACAAAAAGAGGGTGGCTGTTCAGTTTTAGTAGGTGTTTGTCTCCAATAATTGGTAACTTCTATTTCACTCAAGTCTGTTTTCTATAAATTGTTGTCCTATTTTATGGCAGAAGTATGTACAGACTTCTAGTTCATTTGGGAATTCCTAAGGATATCAATGAGTCTGTGTCTTTTTGATGAAGAGAAGCCCTGAATGACCAGAATGACCACATTCTATGCACCTAGCACTGAAAAAATATATTTCAAAACATAGTCAGTTTCCAGACTAATCCATAACTGTGAATCAGTCATCACAACGCCAGTGACATGGTGTCTGAATACTAGGACTCAAAAGATGACAATATCCACCATTCATAGACACCTCATTAACTAGGCAGTAATGCAAGAATGCAAAAGAACGCTGGAAACATGGAAAATCACAAAGCCATGGAAGTGCATCAAATCCCACCTTTTCCTAGAATTTCGACACCTACCTGCAGGAAAAGACTGTGGAAGAGTTACATTCAATTTCCTCCTCTAAGATGATCTGAATACATGTTCTCTTCCCAAAAGATTGCTTTGGATTCACTTCTATTAGTGGTATAGAGATATGTGCCACCTGCACATCTCTCTTTCTTCAGTGCACGCCTTCTCACCCCACACTCCAGACATCTGTTCCATTCATTGATTTTAGGCAGCTGTGAGAGTTTCAGATATTCCCTCTGTTCTTTCTTTTTACATGAGCTTTTGGTATTGTAGAGATTTATCTGTTCCAACCTACACCTCCTTGAAAACTCAATTAAAAAGTCCAGAGTTCTGTCTGATGCAAAAGAAAACAAACAGACAAACTAATTAAACAAACAAACTAACTAAACAAACAAACTAACTAACAAAAACAAACAAAAAAATTGTCGTTGTAGCCATAAAAGTAACAGTACCTCCATAGACAATCTTAAGAATGTGGATGTGCTGAAACTTCAGTAAGATGCAGTTAAAAGATTAGTAGATGCTATGGAAGAGTATTTTTCATAATATGATCCTACTGAACTAAGTAAAGAAATGATAGCTCTGTTTGGTACCATTGTTGGTCCATGTTGGTTTGTTAAATTCTTTTCAACAATTTATTTACAAAAATTCTTCTGTTTTCATTCTGTGCAATGTGTCCACTGCTTAATGCCAAGCTTCTGTTGTGAATCATTTACACCTATGTAAAACAGGAGTTTTAGAAAGTTATGTTTATGTAACATTTTGCATCTACTCAGAAAAGGTGTAAATAATACCATAAATAGTTGGGTAAAGTAATTTTAGTTCCATGTGCTATATAAAAAAGAGATTAACTCATTCTAGCTGGCGTTAATGTTTAGAAATAATTTGATTTTTAGAAATCAGTGTTTTACAACTGGAGTTAAAACTACAGTGGAAAAAAAATATCTTTTTCACACACACACAAAAAAAGTTTTCACATTATTTGAATCATGTAATATAAGAAAGGTGTTGCTGCAGAAAATAAAATCTGAACTGAGTTTATCATAGGTGTATCCTGTAGAAGTACTTGTGAAATCCAGGTAAGATTTACATTTTGACTTATAACTCACTTTTACTCATGACTTTTGATTTATAACTCACTTAGGTTAGATCTTAAGGTTTTTTGTCAACATTGTGTGCTAATAATTTGACAGATGTCTGGTTGCCACAAAAATTTAGAGAAGCATGCATATGGACAAAGAATATGTTCCCTATTTTCTTCCTTTTGTTACGTAAAAAATGTATCCATTACTGGATGTTTAAATTAAGGTTTTCAGAGTCTGGAAAGAACACATAAGACTGTCACTCCTGGATTATATTTCATAGATACTCTTTGTACAGAATTGAGGGAAAAAGTGAATAAAGCATGAGAAATTAATCGTTCATTTTAAGAACACGTTAGTTGGACTCCTTTTTCCCTTTTAATAAGCTGCCAGACTAAATTGCTAAATGCTATATGGCTATTGTTTCAGTGATGTGATACTATTTGTTCAACAAAATGTATTTGGTAGTAAGATTTGAACTGAAACTGAGGAACATATATCTGTAAAATATCTGAAATATCAGTAAAGCAGAACAGCTGGATACAGAGGCTGTAGGAAAAAAAAAAAAAGACTTCAGAAGTTTTACTAGAATTCGGTGTTCTTTTAATTCACAGTTATTTGAAGTTTTTATAGTAATAGTTTTTATTTAGACCAGGATTTTTAAAAATCATAACAAATCAAGCATCTAAAAAAGCCAGCTGGAGGTGTTCAGTATTTTAGAAAAGCAAGCAATTTGAATGCAGCCACTGCTTATTTTTGAAAGCATTGCATTACCAACTATGTGACTTCTTATTTTTGAAAACACCATTCAGCTCTGTCAAACAGTCAAATAAATGTTAATTCAAAGGTCTACATAATCTGAAAACTTGTTTCACGGATGGATCCCAGTCCTCTGATAATTAGACAAATGTTACTTTGTCCCCTTTGCCTTCTTTTGGCTGAAGAAAGTGATCTCCTCTGGGGCAAAGTCCAGGCATTGGACTGGTTTGGTTCTCCCAGTCTTTAAGATAGATATGATGACCAAGCTGAGTCAGGGTCTCTTTCCACCTGACCTTCACAGGTCTCCAAAAATTGTTCAGCAGACCTTTGACTCATACATGTGCCCACCAAGGTACCTGATGTCACACCCCATGATATGAATTATAGTAAACTCTCAATTTCATGTTGTATGTAACTATGACAGATTTAACAAACTGTACAGAAAATAAAATTTAGTAGAATAGAACAGAACAAAATAGTTCAATGGAAAGGGGCCTTCAAAGATCATCTAGTCCAACTGCCTGAGCACTTCAAGACTAACCAAAAGTTAAAGCATGTTATTGACGGCATTATCCAAATGCCTCTGCAACACTGACAAGTACGGGGAATCAAGCACCTGGCCAGGAAGCCTGCTCCAGTGTTTGACCAATCTCACAGTAAAGACATTTTTCCTGATGTCCACTGGTGCAGCTGTGCCATTCTCATATGTCCTGTCATTGGTTACCAGGGAGAAGGTATTAACACCTCCCCCTCCACTTCCCATGCTCAGAAAGTTGTATTGTGGCAAAGAAAATGTAAAGGAAAAGAAAGAATTACAACCTGTTGCAGCCACAGGCATCCAGACGAGGTCTGGACCAGACCAGGATTGATTTGTGTTCTCCAAAGCTT